ATTATTATTACTTATTATCTATTACTTTAATTTATTACTTTAATTTATTACTAATTATTTGTTATGCCAATTCAATTTAATTTATTTAATTGCAATTATATGAAATATATATTAATATTGATTATATAATTTAATTAACTCTTCTTTGCTTTACATGTTCAACAATTCTTTTAATATCATCATTGCTGTATTCTGAAAGATGATTTGCTGTAAAACATTCAGCTTGGTCAATTGCTCCAATGTCAACTTCACTAAATATATTAAATATATTTTGTGCCTTATGTGTTATCTGATAAAGATTGCTTATTGTCATTTGATGACTTATATAAGATAACATTGTGTTGTATATTTGTGTACAAGCTGCTCTATTCTTTATACCCTCACTTATTAATTCTCTTACTCGATTCTCGAAAGCTTCAGCATAATCATACTATTTCCTAATTTCTATTGAATTAGACTTTTTTAATTGCTTTTCAGCTTGTTTTGAAATATTAAATAAATCAACTAAAATTTGATCTATTGGTTTATAGCTTCAACTGAGCTATCTTTTGTCTCATTAGGAGTAATTAGAACCTCAACAACTTCTGTTATTTTTTTTGGTACTTTTGACCTACATGGCCTTTTTGATAATGCCAATGAAGGTTTTAATACATTATTTGCAGTCTCATTTTCCTAAATCAAAATTAATTTTTAATATACATTTTATAATATGAATATTATATAACACTGTATGATAAATTTTAATAATGCTAACCTGTTCATTAGTTTGTTCATTAACTTGTACTTGCCTGCCATATGCTTGCCCACCTTGTGCTTGCCTGCTATTTGCTTGGCCTTCTTGTTTTTGTCTATCATTCACTTGCCCACCTTGTGCTTGCCTGCTATTTGCTTGGCCTTCTTGTTTTTGTCTACCATTCACTTGCCCACCTTGTGCTTGTCCACTTTGTACTTGCCTATCATGCACTTGCCTATCTTGTGCTTGCCTGCTTTGTGCTTGCCCACTATGTGCTTGCCCACCTTGGACTTGCCAATCTTGTGCTTGTCTGCTTTGTGCTTGCCCACTTTGTGTTTGCTCACTTTGTGCTTGCTTGCTTTGTGTTTGCCTACTTTGTGCTTGCCTACACATTTGCATTTGTAGTTTATTAACTTGCACTTGTTTATTAATTTGCTCTTATTCATTATCATCTTGTGCTTGTAGTTCATTAAATTGCATCTGTTAATTAGCTTGTGCTTGTCATTCATCAGCTTGTGCTTGTAGTTCATCAGCTTGTGCTTATCGTTCATTGGCTTGTGCTTGTAGTTCATTAGCTTGTGCTTGAAAAGATAGTATATTTAATATTTTTTCAAGACAATGTGGAGTTGACATTTCAATATATCAATTTGGTGTTTTATAGCCTTTATATTTGCAAAGACAACAATTATATTTCATAATACACTTTTAGTAAAAGAAATGCCTGCAGTCAAGTAAAATTACCAATTGCAAATGATTAGAAGAAATTTCACAACTACATATTTTGCAAATATTAGAGTCTTTACATTCTACAGAAATTAAATTATCATCGTTGAAGTATAATTTACAAGCAAATTTTTTCAGTTTGTTCATAATTAGTAGAAAAAATGATTTTACTGTGCACTCACCTAATTGCTTTATAAATATATTAAAAAAAATAAATTAAAGAATTAGTAATCAAATAATATAGACTTGTAAGTATAAATCTTATTATAAGTTTAATTTTAACTAGCATTATTTTTGTTACTATAGAAAAGTATAACTTAAGTATGTTTCTTATTATAAGATTAAATTTTGGCTATTATCATTACTGTTACTATAGAAAAGTATAATGACATAATGATTTAAAAATAAAATCATAAGTAAGCTATTAGCAGCTATTCAAATTTGTAGATTATTCTAAATAATTTTTTTTTATATGTTATATACTTTTAGTGATAACAAAATTTCAGAATTTAATGTATCACAAATCGACTATATTATTAAAAATGTAACTGTATAATGATAATGTATATAGTAATTAATTGTTTATATAAATTAGTTATATTAATTTTAAAATATTAAATTTTTAGATTATATATTGATAGGCTGAACAAAATTTAGGAATGTTACAGCTGTTTTCATAAATTCTGAAAAATTCAGCAAATATTCGACTAATTAATTTTTGCTAAATTTTTCAAAATTTAATAAGTTGGTCTGGAATTGACAATATTACATGATTTTTGAAACTTTTTTAAATAATGATTTTATTCTAATTGGTCATACACAGGATTTTTAATAAGATTATTTGGGCTGCATTAGCATATAATCTGGCTTGCATTAAATATTATTTGATCTAAATTAAATATTATTTGGCTTGTATTAATATTAATGAACCAATTTCTGATTAGTAATTAACTCTTTTTTTTAGATATACTATGACAAATTCAAATCTAATAATCCAATTATGAAAGACCTTCATAATTGTTACATAATTATGCATTATGAGCAATTTAGAATAATTATTTCTTCAATCAGTAGTTATTTTATTTTACTAATATTCTAACATCTATTATTCTCTTTTCTTTAAATATACTGTGACGAATTCAAACTACTAATCTAATTGTAAAGGTTCTTCATGATCATTACATAATTATGTGTTATAGAACCAGTTCTCAATCCACTGATATGAACAAAATTTTAATATTAGATCAATCTAATTTTATAGATCGAATTAATATAGACTAAATTTTATTAACTAATTTTATTATATTAAAATTCGACAGTTGAATTTATATCAAATCTTGAACTAATTTTGTTAAAATTTGACAGTTGAATTTTGATAATTATCATTAATGCTACAATTCAACAATTAATACAG